GGAAAATCAATTAACAACGGAGACGTAACAATATGTTGTTCAGACTGACGGTATACAGAAGCGTCTTAAGAAAATAACCTTACTGAAATATGAGGTTATGAGTTTTTCGTAATTATAGAAATGTTGGAATTTAATTTTATAAGAACTAAGAGTTATATGACTACCTTTTATCATGCAAAAAAAAAAATACAAATTTGCTTGTTGTTAAGCGCAAAGCTACACAATAGGCTATTTGTGTTCTGGCCACCACGAGCTTTTAGACTTACCATTGTAGCACGGGGTAGGGGGGGGGGCTAAAAATGAAATTATGGAAGTGTTTTCAGTAAAATATCTGCCAAAAAATTAAACTAAATACTGTTATTAAGTATAAAATACAAATATTCAAAAACAACAACGTGATTTTATGACGCAGGTTAATAGCTTTACAAAACAAAGAAAAAATAGTTTTTCTCAGTTTGGAACTGATGAAGACATGAAGGTAGATGATGTTTTTATGATTTCTACTGAAATTCTACGTCAAAGATTTTCTTTCAAATAACCAACATCTTCAAATGACAGAATACGTTTGTTTATTTACGAATTTCGCGCAAAGCTACTCGAGGGCTGTCTGCTCCAGCCGTCTTTAATTTTGAAGTGATAGATTACAAGGAAGGCAGTTAGCCAACTTTTAGGTTACTCTTTACCAACGAATAGGGGAATTGACCGTCACATTATAACCCCCCCTCCCACACACACACACACAGTGATGGGATTCAAACCCGTGACCCTCAAGTTATGAGTCGAGTGTCTTAACCACCAGGTCATGTAAGTCGTTGACAAAGTAAGAGCGCCAACTTTTTAATCTTAAAAAAATTAATTTCAATATCATTAACCATGGTAGTGGTTCGTAATATAGGGATCGCCCGTTTGTTCTTCTTTATTATTATTTGATATTGTTCCGCCAGCCTACAAAAAAAATGTGAGTATTATAATAAAACTTGGGCAATATTATTAAAGGGATCATTGCGCATTGTGTAGGATAGTTTTTATGTTTATTTGTCTACCTAGCAATAACAGCTGCTGTGTACCATTGACACCCAATCATTTTAATCATGTAGTCTGTGGTTTATATGGTGCCTCATATAGCGATTATTAACTTATTGTTGCAACTGTGTTGATGTCGCATATCATTTGTTTACATATAGGGTTCCTACCCTTTCGGACACAACGCTACTCACAAGATCACAGTTTTTGAGCTTTTGTTTTTACCACTGCATGATTGATTTTGGCCGTGTTACACAAACGTCTAGGTTGTTTCTCACAACATAAACCATTAAGCCGTAGTTCAAAAGATAGCACCAAGCACATTTTTGACCATCGGATCGGCAATCACAGTGATTGCTGATGGTAAGTGTCATAGCTAACACTGTGTGATTGCGAATGTTATAGATACTGTAGATAGAGTAGCCATCCTTGAAGCTGACTATAATGAGTGGCAAGAATCGTGCAAGCAGGAGATGGAGATTCTAGGCGAAAGTTTTTCCACTGTGACGACCCTCAACTCTGGTGGGCTGTCGCTGCTGCATACTTTATCTGAAACTAAATATTTTCTGAATAAAATATATAGCTACAAAATTTCTGCCTCGGCTTGTAGAAATGTCACAACCCATTAATGTATATTATATGTATATTAATATAATCAATTCATAATTGTTCGTTAACACATTTTCAACCTTGTAAAGAATATAAAACTCATGTAGTTACAAAATCTAGTCCATGCACCATTCCAGTATAGTTCAGTAGTTCCTCCAATCCAGTGTTTACAGACTCCTCGTATAGCCACAGGGTATAAATATAGTAGCTATGTATATTTTACAAGCATATACATAACATGTGGTATGTTGATCACTAAGCATCATTGTGATCATACATGCTGTACCACTATCAATGATAACACTGTGGCAATGATATCAGGAGCAACAGCCATTCAATCTGCATGAAGTCAATCCAAAGGTTGTCATGTTTCCCGAGAGAGCATCATACACCAACTACGTATTTGATTAAACTGTTTCAAATAGGACAGTATTGTTATTATACAGACTTATATCCATGATGAACATAAAAAAATGAAAAAAGAAAGATTATCAAAAATCTTTAATTTACAATGAAGAATTAGGGATCTTCAAAAAATACAGATGCAAGATAGGTAGCTTAAAGTGAAAATGCAATCATAAAAAAAGTAAACAAACAAGCTTAAAGTTTGAGATATAGTGTTGACATTATTTCCTCAAGCTACAAATCCCTATTTTGATTCCATGTCTAAAAGCTGTGATATTTAGGAGAGAAAAAAAGAGTATTTAATTTCAGTAATAAGTAAATCTGAAAAAAAAAAGTAAAAGAATTACCAATCAGGTTGTTTTAGAGAAAGAACAAAATATTACCTGTGAAATGGGAGTCACAACTAAAGAATCCATTCCAGTTTTTGAATTGTAAACCTTCTGTTTCACAAATCCTGGATCCACAACATAATATATACCATCAATGGTCAAAGAAGTCTCTGCAATGTTTGTGGCAATAACAACCTGAATAACATACAGCACTTGTTAACTGAAGTACACATATTCTATTCATATTAAATGTTTAACAACTCAACTTAGCTTTCAATATTAAAATTTATACACATACTGATGTACAATAAATTAACAATTATGTTGTTATTACTGTTTTAACACTCTCTCAGTTTATATATAATCCACCAAACAACTTCACAAATGTTTTAGTAAAATCAAAAGCTTGGTATACAAGGTGTGCAACAGTTTATTCATTACAAGTCTGTTAGGTCATCTTCTGTCAAAAAGCCTTAAGTGGAGTATCACTTTATCAAAAAACATACTCTGTTCTATTTCATGAATGATTCTACAGATTATGCACTTTTTTTTTATTTAGGGCAAATAATTTTATCTTTTGAACTCATAGCGTGGTACTCTCATACAGTTGTTTTTATCATAACACAAAAGAAAAGGAGGATTATATCCAAATGAAGCAGAACTTAATTCAAGCATTAAAAAGATCATACAAACTGGTTCAAGTCCTAATTCTATCCACTCCAGACATTTTCTATCCAACACCTACTTTTCTTAAACTATTTTTTCTGTATCAAGCTTGTAAAGACATGAAGCCAATTAAGAGCAAGCAATACCAATACAACAAAAGAGTAATGAACCCTCTTAACACTGAAGTGATAACCAGATCCTCCAAGCATGATAATTCCACCTTTGTGCAAAGATTAATCATTAATAAATCAATCAAAATATAGCAATCACCTCAACTCTACTGACCTTCACATATTTAATCTTGGGTGAAACAATCATATCACTTTATGAAACTAGGCAGTCTGGACCAAATAAAAAAAGTCATGCAACAGAATTGAGCACGTATACAAACTTGAGTTAATTTGTAAACCTAATATAATGGTAGTACATGTGGAAATGTGAAGCCTTGTAAGGCTTAAAAATTCCTCATTGAATTGAAAATGCTGTGAATCACATGTTTACATGTACTATCAAACTCTTTTCTTGGGTAAACTGTTTTGTTTTTTTGTTTTTTTATTATTATTGTGGAGAGGATGATCAGGCATACTTTTGACATTACTCAATTCCATAATTCTGGTATCATTGTAAAGAGAAGGCCTTGCTCTTTCTAAAAATATAGTATTATTATTCATTGTAAAATCCAACAGTTTATATCATGAAGTTTTATATATATATATACATGAATTCTGAAGTACGGTCTTTAAAATACAGAGCTGGGCCGTAAGTAACAGCATTTGCTGGACACAATGATCATAAAATTCTGTCTGGAATAACTTGGCTTTGTTACTTAATATACCTATCTGTAAAAAATCTATTATAAATGCATGCTCCTGATTTGATACTGGAGATTTTCTCAGAAGAAAGAGTTTTGGGTTACAAACTTTTACCCACTAACAGCTGTTGCTGAAATGTATAGTGAGAGCCTAAGATTAAGTGCAAACTTTATTTTGAAACCCCAAACAGCCAGAAGAAACAGTTTTGGGTTAGAAACTTTTACCCACTAACAGCTGTTGCTAAAATGTATAGTGAGAGCCTAAGATTAAGTGCAAACTTTATTTTGAAACCCCAAACAGCCAGAAGAAAAAAACACTGTTACTTACATAGCATTGACTGAGAATGAACTGATGTTTGCCAACACTATGTTAAGTTTGCACCAAACAATTATCGTTATGAAGAAGTGCCTTCAGTGTACAGTTAATGCATGTGAAGAAAATGTTACACTGATAGATGTGAATGAGTGTTGCACACTGAAAGATGTGAATAGATGTAAATATGTTAGACATCTGAATATACTGGAGTTACCTATATGGATCTTAATAGAATTTACTTAACAAAACCTTTTCTAGTTGCTTTTGAAGTTAAACCAGCTATAACATATGAGTTTACCCTCAAATTGTACAGAAATGTTTTATATTTACACCTGGAAAAAAGTTAAGCACCCCCAAATATTTTTCAGGATTGCTTATTGAAAATAAGGTTTAATTTTCATGATGTTGAGCAATGTTCATAATTTCAAACATAATTAAATGGA